TAATCATCCCCTTCCTGTTTTGAGGAAAAACAAAACCAGAAAACAATTGTTGGTATTAAGTCAGAGGTTTGCTCCAAATTTCACTCACTTCATACTGAAACCAATTCTATGGCTTAAGAACTTCAATTGAATATGCACATAAACTGACAATAGTTCTTAGAATTAATCTTAGCTAAGATTAGAAATAATTTTTCAAGTTCTTTGATTCTTTCCTCGTAGATCACAAAAACCAAAAAGTCAATGCAACCAAACAAACAAAAAAGAAAACACCCCACCTTCAAGCCTAAAAACATATTCGACTGAGAAAAGAATTGATGAAGGGGCACAAGAAACCCACTGTATCCAAAACAAACTCACCCAAATTATTAAACCATGTTGACAGATTACTAGTCCATTAAAAAAAAGCTGCAAGAGATGATTTGAGGAAAATGGAAGGAAGGTATAGTAGTTGGATGATACAGCTTAGTTTTTTTCCTTTTTTGGGTGAAGAATATGTCATTAATTGAAGGTAAAAAAAAATTGCAAAGAATTGACAACTACATTCCCCTATTTTTTTAATCAAACAAATTTAAAAAATGAAGTGCAAATCTGCTTTAACATTAAAACTTGCTTTCCTTTAAAATCTATGTCATTTTGAAATCATGGTTTTTAAAATTTACACAAATCAAGTGTAATTAATAAGCAATGGAAGCAAATCTGATTTACTGGCAATCTACTTTCCAACGAAACTGTACAATAGAAAAGCACTAAGAAACAAAATTAAAATATATACCACCATGTAGATTTAAAGCTGTTTATATTAAAATTAAAAAACAAAACCAAACCAAAACAAGACCTAGAGGCCAAATCACAACCTCATTTCATTATGTAATTAGTTTTCTACTGGTGATGTTGGGCGTCATTTTTAGGTTCCAGTCAGTCATTTTTGAACCACGTATTTCAAAATTTAATTATTAAATAGAAGACAAAAAAACCCCCAATACCAACAGAGCCAAGTGAATAATCTAAATAGGCATTTTACCTATAATTGTCTCCTCTTCTAGAAAACAAACATGTTACCTTACCCTTTCCTGTTTTAAAAGGGTAGCTTACTTCAAACTGAAGCAAAGCTCTTTCGTACCACCTATACAGATGACTACTAGTAACATTAAATTTAATGCGAAATGAAATAAGGGAGATGGTAAACTTAGTCAAACTGTTTAACATTTTCAAGTTTAGGTTAACTTATCTGAAAGCAATAAAAACATAACTTTAAAAATGAATCCAAAATTTATAGTAAAAGAATGCTTACTTGGTACTCGGGATATTAAAACTGCTCAATGTTTTACACCAAAAAGGTAAGCATTATTATTAGCTACTTATAATTCATTTCCCTGGCTAAAAATTTTAATATTTTAAGTTAACAGCCACTACCACCAATCCTCAAAAAGAAAATATGGTCATGGAGGTAATGAAATAAATATTGGTTCTGCTTTAACCATATACTAATTTTTACGAGCCAATTTAAGCCAAAAATAATAAAATGTGCAACGTATTGAAATCCTTTGTGCTCCTTACTTGAAGTTGCAAATAATTAAACAAAGTCCCTTACCTTATCAATTATCTTTTGAAAATGAACTTCTACAGTACAACTCTGAATATCCTTGTGTTCATCAGAATTGTGTATTAGAACTGAGAGTTTTTTAGATCTTATTTTTTGTGCTCGATAGCCAAACACAAAAAGCATAGAATCAATAACATTGGATTTGCCACTGCCATTTGGCCCAATAATACAGGAAAAGCGCTGCATAAAAACAGGAAAAAAAAAAAAGTTAAAGATAGCTGTTTTCATATATCATGTCTCTTATATCACAAGCTTCAACACTTTAAATAACACCATATTCTAATTTTAACTCAGACTTTTTACAAAATTCATTCTTAGAGTTAAAGAGGAAATACTCCTTTCAAACAGAAAACCCACCAATTCTATTCAGTGTGGAAAACTTTATAAAGAGAGGTACCAAAAGATAACCAAACAAAAGCTAATTTCAGTTGTTAAAAGCATAGGAAACATACCGTATTTTTAATCAATCAGCATAAATACAATAACTACAAAATTGAAACATTTTATACTAAAGACGCATTACAACAGTTATTTTAAAAAGGTCAAATACCTTATGGAAAGGTCCCAGAATTTTTTCCCCAGCATAGGACTTGAAGTTCTGGTTTACAATATGAGTTATCATAAGACGAGGAGCTCCAGCTTCATTGGTCATTGCTGGAGGTGGGGGAGGAGGGATGCTATTCAAAATCTCTTCTAAACTTCTATTATCTATTTCCTCACTTGGAGTCTCTAAGTCAGTCAAAGGAAAGGGAAAACAAGGGGAAAAAAGCCTGCATTAGTGCAATTAGTTCGGAGGACTACTGCCTGCTCATCTCTGGAGAGATGTTATTTATGAAACGTAGGAATCTGTATTTTCACTCAAATATAGTATTATCCTAAACTCACAGGGGATGAGAATCTTTTGGTTTGGTTTTATCAAAAAAGAAATTCTTGAAAGAAATGCGACCAGTCACAAAATCCTATAGAAATATACCTTTTAGGAGCCGAAACACTACATCGTCATGCAAATCTGGGAAATCCACAACCACTTGATTCCCTGCTCCCTGTCTAAACAGGTGGTTAAATCCTAAGGCTCTAGATCCAACTCTCTCCGTATCTGTGAGCACCTGGAACCTTAACTTTGGACACTCGCGAGCTCTAGAGACACTGTCACAGGGGTTTCATGTCATTCAGTTCCTGGACTCACAAAAGCTACGGTAGTTTCGAGTAAATTATCATCTTATCTTAGCAATTTAAGACCACGAAGGTGAAGTTACAGGGTCAAGAAACTTTTCATCATTATTATTACAGTCAGGCTGACTCTGTCTGAAAACCAGTCCACTAGCTCCTGGCTGACCGTGTCGATTTCCGTGGAAATAGAAGACAATGAACAGAAATTCAGAATTGAAGCTATTTACTCGCCCCCATCCCCTCCGGCACCGTTACACCGATTGCACATTGTCTAATCTGTGAAAATCGCCAAATCGCTTTCTTGAGCGGCTCTACCTGACCTTCAGATGTCAACCTCGCAGCCCCTCTTGTCCGCGCCCAAGAACACCAGCCAGTCCTGGGTTGGGCGCGGATGCACCCGGGTCTCCCCCGCGCTTGCCCGCGACGTCGCGAAGGGCCACTCACCTGCGGTGGCAGGCGCGAGGCTCCCCGCGCGGCCGGGAGGCGGCTCGGGCTCCGCGTCGCTGCTGGCGCCGTCCGGGGACTGCGGCGGCCCTTCCTCTCTGCGCCGGGCGGTGGAGGGCTGGGTGCCTTTACGGGGCATGGTCGCTGGGGCCGAGGGAGAGCCGGGAGCAAGTCGGGCCGCGGGCCAGTGCCGGTACGTTCCCCCCACCCCCTCCCGGTGAGACGGGCTCAGCTCCCCACCCCGTCCCACTCGGGGAAAACTCCGTCCACCCGTTTTCCAGAGCCCCGTCGTCAAACCCCGCTAACGCCAGCGGGTCCTCGAGAAAGAAGGCACCAAAAACTCAAGTGCCAAGAAGGCGGGATTCGTTTTCTTAAGTCCTAAGCAAGTGGGAAAACCTAGACGTGCTTGGGGATCAAGCAAGAACAGAGCAACTGCTTAGGTTCTTTTTACTTTTTAATGCACCCCCGCCGTCCGCCCACAGTATAAGTGTGAAAGACTATTCTAACGTAATTTCTAAACGAAGCAATTCCCATACGCTAGCATTTGCGGACATTCCCACGCTCTCTGGGGTAGGGATGCAAGCGCACAGATTCTAAGAGACAAGAGTTCGTTTGAAGGGCTATCTATCACCTCTTCCCAGAGCAGCGAAGAACCAACTGGCGGCGAGCCGCCCACTTTCCTCTCCCCGCCATTTAGCCCTCGGCGCAGTGGACGCCCCGGGGTCTTTGAGGTCTGCTCTCTACAGTCCGGCCGGGTCCGACCACTCGCGATTTTCAAATCGGAAGCCGGCAGCGCCGGCTCCGGTTCAATAGCCTTGAGGTGGCAGGGGTCTGTCCCTCCGGGGTCCGCGGCAGAATCCCGTTGGACAATAAACTACGAAAGGTCACCAGTTAAGGGCTCAGACCCGGTGGTTAGTCCCTTGCGGGAAGTGAGACGGGCAGGGGGCCACGCTAGAGTCCGACCAAGATCGAGATTTCTGAGAAGAGGTCCGCGAGGCTGAGAGGCTCCCCCTAACCACCCCCCCCCCGGGTCCCCAGTCTCCTGAGCAACGCTTATGTGGCTCAGAGAAGTGGCGCCCGGGAGAAGCGCGCGGGAGCCTCGACTGCCGGGGAGCGGCCGAGGGGGGAGGGGTGACAGCGAGAGAAATCTCCCTGCGGCAGCCTCAGCCTAGACTTCGGCTGCTCCAACTCAAGGCCTCTACTTTCCAGGAGCCCGCGGACGGGACAGGAAGTAAGAGTGTGATCAACCTGATCAGGAAAAGAAGTATTTTACCTGCCGGATAGTCCACTCAGACCAAGGTTGGAAACGGTTGCATACACCCCCTCTCCTACCGGTGTTTCGGCTGCGGGTCCTTCACTCGAAAATGGCGCCTAAAATACAAACTCGAACGGAAATTCGTTACAAATGCGCGCAATGCTTTCTGGGAACCACTAATTTGAAAAAAATGCGGCGATTATCGCCGCCATTTTCTGGTGGCTTACGCGCATGCGCGAACTGCTGGCGGGACCCAGGCGGCAGGGGACGTTTTCTATTAAGTGAATAAGAAAAGCGAAACAATGTTTTCCGTGGGCCTACGGCAATAGCACTCTTATAAAAAATATTTTTTAAAAAATTTTGAGAATTTTGAAAAAGATAAAAAAAATAGAGTGAGGCTCCGCCCACAGCTAAAGGCAAAGCTCAGTCGTCCAATGACGCCCCTTAAGGAGAGGGCGAGCTCGCTGAGGGGCGGGGTCTAGGGCCTGCTCGGGTGACGCCCGGCAGGGAAGTATCGCGGGAAGATGGAGTGAGCTTAGCTCTTAGGAGTCGCTATGGTGACAGAGAGGCCCGAGGCTTCTTGGTAACTGGTCCCACTTCTGTGAGTACGATCGCCACCGCTTTCCTGTCACTTAAGGTAAATCTCTTTACTTCTAGGCGAGAGGTGAGGAAAGGGTTTGGAAGTTGTAGCCATTACTGGATCCACCTTCCCTGCTATGAGGGTGTGTGCGGAGTGGAGCATCAGTTATTTTCCGTCTCCCTGGGGGCGGTGCGGCTCTGGACGTAGCTTTTGGGATGCAAAGGAGGAAGCCCTGAATTTGGAGGGAGTAGAGGGGTAACAAGGAGAAGAGAAAACCTGGATTGGTGAATGATCGTGTAGTGAAAAGCAAAATAATGATTTCGAATTATTGGTGTTAGGTCATTAATGTCACTAGTGAAAGGGGGTTTCGCGTTTTTAAAATCATTTGTCTGAAAGACTCTGTAATGGAAGAAACGATTTGCTGGTGTCTGGGTATGAGAAAATTATTGATCAGCAGATATTTCTTAAGTAGCTTTTGTGTACATTGCACTGTCAGGCATAATCAGGATTATTAAGCAAGTATACCTGTTCCCAGAGAATCTAGTTTTGCTAGTAGGTTTTTAGTTTTGCTAGTAGGTTTTTAGCCAGGAGTTTGTGGATCTGGTGGTAGGTGATTGGAATTCAGAGGAGTTCATACCACCTCTTCTCCACTTCCCCTCCCCTGCCCCCCGCCCCCGAAATCGTATACAAAATTCTGGGTGCTTGTGAATTTTTCTGGGGAGTTAGTGTTCCCAGAACTTTGATCAGATTCTCAAACGTGATCCTAATCCCTCACAATGTTAACCATTAATTGATTTGACTATGTCCAACAAGCATTTATTCAGCAACTCTTAAGTACTTGACATTGAGAACTGGGAGCCTCTTTTATTCCCCCTTTTAACTTTTGTAGACTTAGGACTTGGCATACTCAAGCCCCAGTATATCTGCTTTATGAATGAATTTACATTGTCATTCTAAGTAAGTAAGTATGACTCTTGCCCTGAGGAGCATATTCAGGTTCAGTGTTTCTCAAGAGGAGGTGTGGAGGACACTCCCCTCAAGTGTAAGAATTTGGTGAGGTTGGGAGACTGGTGTGATTTGAATAAACATTGACTTGATATTGTAATATACCTTTATATTTGAGGTAATATAAGTTGAAAAAAATTATTGTTTTCATAAGACAAACTACAGACAATAAAGCTTAGTGAAAAAAAAATTTGGCTGGTAGGTGTACAAGAAAATGTAGCAATCAGTTCTCTTTGAAAACATCTGGAATCTTTTGGAATTTTGCAGTCTGTAAAACACTATTACAACTGAGTTGGAGAGATATTAACCATGAAAAAAGCAAAGACTAGACCAAATTGAGTTATGTATATGGGAGACAGCATGATGTAGTAGAAAGATGTAACAGATAACAAGAGTCCCAAATCTCATCATTTTTTTAGCTACATGCTTAGACAGTTTACTCAATTAATCAATCTCTGAGATTTTTTATTATAAAACCAGCATATAATACCTACCTCATAGGATTGTTTATGATTGTCTAGCACACACACTATATGCATTTGGTACTGCTGTGTTTATGACATTGACCTTATTAGGGTATGTGCTAAGGATGAATAATGGGATGTCAAGTTAGAAGATTAGTTTATGAAGGGTTTTGAAAGCCAGGTCAAGGATGTTTTCAAAATATTAGAAAAATTTTGAGCTAAGGAATGACTTGGTAAAAAAAAAATTAACAGTAGTTATGTGGGATGTGTAAAAAGGGAAAGAGACTGAGATCAGGCATGGCTTAGTTGGATTATTACTGTCCAGTCCTCCATGTAGGAGGTGCCTACGCAGTAGAAAGGTAAAAATCTGGACACATTTTGGGGGAAAATCTATAGCTTTTGTAGGTTTTAATGGTTAAGAGTCTGAACCCTTAAAGTTAGTCAGATTCTATTTTTTATGAATCCCTGGATTAGTGATGAGGCGATAAGAAAGATAAGTCACAAATAAATCCTAGTTTTACTGCCTTTGATGGTTGCTTTAAATAATGATTGGTCTTAGTGACTGATAAGAAATGTAATTTCAGTAAATCAATAAAGTGACCAATAGCTTTAGATTTAGTTGAACCTAACCATGCTCCACTCAGAATAAATATTTTTTAAGCAGACTTAAACCAGGTTGTATAACATAGGAAAGAAATTCATAACAAACAGCTACAGTGGAGACAAATCTAGAGTGAAAGTAGGGCACTCAGAAAAAGTGAAGAAGTGATTTGAGAAGAGATTAGGATCACAAGAAATAAAGACTTGATTGATCCCTGCCAGTACTTTGGATAAAAAGAAGCTGGTCCAATTGGGATGGACTAGGTTACAATGATCTTGGAAAGTATAACCAAGTCTCATCTTTCTGGTCCAAAATCATCTACTAACAACCATTATCTATAATTTCAGGCAGTCTGAGAAGAGAACGCTTACTTTTTATATTTCAAAAAGTTCTACCCCACAGGAAGAAATAAGAATAAGTTCAAGGGGAAAAATTGGAATAGAATTAAAATTAACATTTGCAATTCTTTAAGTGCATAGTTAGATTTTGTCATCATTATAATAATATGTGTTTTGTCTACCTTCTAATGTGGTTACAGCATTTCTAACGTGGTTACAGCATTTCATAAAGTCTGAAATTAGATTTGTGGGTAAATGTTTAAAATATTAACAAAGTTTGTAATTAATTGTGAATATTTGGATTAATTAGACATTAAATAATAGATCAAAATGAATAAACATGAATTTATGTAAGTAATGTATAAATACTTAGAGAATATTGTTCAAGATGAATAAATTGGATATAGAGACAGGAGAGATAGTAATGAATATTCCTCTTGATAATATAAGCCCCCTAGAACACCAGTCTTGTTGAAACTCTCACCTATCTTAACATAGAAAAAAATGGGAAGTGAGGAAATGGAGCAGTTTTGGGGGATGGACTGTTTTGAAAAATGAGTTTGTTTTTATTCATATAGGTTGAGATTAGGAAAGGTATATACAGTGGGCATTAGAGGTGGAGAATATAGTTCAGAAGAGAAAATAGGGTGAGATAGAGTTACAAGAATAGTTGGGACACTAAAAATAGATTAGATTTTTAAGGTTGTGAGTAGAGAGAGGATAGCACTAGAGAATGTACATTCTTAGAATATAGGAAGAAGAAATAATTATAGTAATGTCTCAGGGAGGACTTTGTAGATTACAAGTGACAGAAAATCCAATCCAAATTGTCTTGAGAAAAAAAAATTAACTTCCATAACCAAAAAGTTAGGTGAGTATAACTGGATTCAGTGTTCAAACAAACACACTAGGATTGTGCTTCTTTCTTTGTTCTGCTTTGCATTTCCTTGTCTTGGCATTATTCTCAGGCTTCACGTAGTGGTCTCTGACACCTCCAGGCTCTCCCCTTGCCGTGGTAAGGTGTTACAGTAACTCTAGCCTCAAATTTCCTAAACTTAAAGACCTGGGGGTTAAGAAGTGTCTTTCTTCCCCATCTTTTAGTTAAATAAAAGTTTCTATTGGAGATCTCTAATTGACTTAAGCCTAGGTCTCATGCTAGCTCCACTGAAGCCATATGGCTAAGAGTGAGGAAGTGGTGCTCCAAGAAGAAATTCTTTGTAGCTAGGAAAAGAGTGAATATATGAAGGGTGACAAAAACACCAATTTTCACTATAAATAGCTAACAGTTATTAAGTTCTTACTATGTTTCAGGCACTCTACTGGACATTTGTAAGATGCCTTTTTTTTTTTTAACCTCATGTCTACTTTATCTCATTTAATCATCATAACCAACCTGTGAGGTAGGCATTATTAACCCCATTTTGTATACAGAAGAAAACAAAGTGCAGTATTTGGAAGATCTCTAGCTGAGAGTTTCAATAAGAAGTGGGTCAAATGCAGTAGAAACTGCAAAGAGAATGAGAATGGTGATCTTACGAAAAATAACATTTATTAGGTTTTTTTTTTAATGCAGAAATGCATAAAGAAGAAAGCAAAATTGGGCCATAATCCTATCATTCAGATAATTCTATATTAAAAATATAAATGTATAGATAAAATATTATGAACATGATAAAAACATCAAACAGTATAAAAACATATAAAATGAAAATTAAAAGAGTGCCTTCTCACCCCAGTGTCCCTAACCTCATGAAGGTCTCCGTTAAGTGTCTTGCATATCTTCCGAGAAGAATGTTTTAGTATCCAATAACTTGAATATATATTCCTCCCTTTTTTTTTTTAACACAAAAGGGATTGAGTTATATAATACTGCTGTATACTTTGTTTTTGTCATTTAACATATTATAGACATCTTTCTGTATCAATACATATAGATTCATCTCATTTTTTAAATAGTTGTACAGCACTCTAGTTTATCAGTTGAGTGTAATTTTTTTCTATGCTAGTTGATGAATTAAAAGGACGAATTAAAGACGACTACTTATTTTTAAATTTGTGAATAACATGGTTTATTGGCTAGAATTTATTAGGCCGTCCTGCAAAAGGATTATAAATATAACCAATGTGAATAATATTAAAGTATGGTTGGCAAGAGCTAGCTCTAATTTAGCTAAAATTGCAAGGAAATGTAAATACCACTGCATATATCAATACATACACTTCAGATACCTACAGGAAGTGGAGTGGCATGGAGGTTGGAGGTCTTTAGTAAGTGAACTATACTGCCGTTCGTAAACCTGTTCCATTGCTTGTTAGGTGTTTGAATAACCTGTCCCTGGAAATGGTGAACCTGCTGCTGCCTTCCCTGCCGTATAAGAGATCTCAGCTCTAGTCTTCAAGTGGTTTTATGATGGGACCAATCTGAATAAAAGATCTGTTTCTCTCTCCCTCCTCTCTTTACTGGAAAAGAGACATAGGAGTCTAATCAGAGCTATCAATTTGGAAAATTGTTGATAAAAATCGTACTTCTAAAAATAGGGCCTTGGGTAGTCATCAGCAAACCATTAATTTCAACTGTTAATATCAACACCCAAGGGTTAGACAATATGCAAATGACCCAAACAGAACTTGGTATAAATGCACTTGTGA